AACTTCGAATACAATAACAACCAAAATGAAAAAAACAACAACGACACACACACACGACACAAACTAAAATTATTGTTTAGAGAACGAAAAAATAGGTAAATGATAGGTTTGGTTGAAATATCATGGATATTTAGCCTTTTCAGTTGGACAAATTGAAAAGAGCATTTTATTTCATGATAAAACATTGGCAGACAGACCATACGACACACATGACATCGGATAGGTCATATTATAGGCAATTGTGCGTATGAATTTTCGTCTCACATTTTTGTGTGTGATTTTTTTTATTTAAAAAAAAAAATGAAATGGCATTCAAGTTGTGTGTAGCTCATTTTTTCGGTTGTAGTGCATTTCGATCGGGTCCAAGTCACATTGGCATATCCTTGATCTGATTCCCCTTTGAAACGATTTTTTTTTAATATCGTTATCATTCTAAAGTGGGAGTGGTTTGCAGCTATTATATTGCCATTGTCGTTGTTGTGCTTCCCTTTGCCTTGCTATCAATCCCTTAGTATTCCGATGGCTGATGATATGTAATCACTTTTAATTGAATAAAAATTACCTGGACGTGACATGCGTTAACTAAATACCAAATAATATGGATCCACTTGATTAATCTGCGACGACACAGTTCGCATTTAAATGTCTTGGTTACTACCGCGCGCGTGCGACTCAAAAATGGATCCGGTCACAAACTCTGACCAGTTTTTGCTGTTGTTGCTGTTGTTTTTGACAGATCAACCCTTGCGTGATTACATGAGACCTATTTAAATTTTGTGTATTTAATAAACTTGAAACATATCCTGTCCACGAATTTGCATAAGATTTAAATGTCTGTAGTTATGGAAGTGATACGAAACAGTCTTTTAACTACACAACATTCGGGTTAAGTAAGGCAAACATGTAATGCCAAAAAAATAGACAAAAAGACACATAGAAACATTTTATGATGTGGTATCTTTGACTTTTGATCCAGGTGTCGCATATGCGCGCTAGTTACAAATTAATTACTCAACGGAATAGAACAATTGTAATTAAGTTTCCATTAGAATCTACGTGCCGAGCGTGTCCATAACGATTTCATGAATTGATAAAAATCACCGAAAAGATAAAGCCCGGCCGAGTGAAGAGAAATTCAAGAAGAAGAAACAGATAAAACAGCACAGTACTCAACAGCAGCAACAACAACAACCAAAATTACAGCAACGGCCATGTAATCAAAGTTACGTGAAGAAAAACACACGCATACACCGACGATCTAGAGACGCCGAAGAAGAAAAAAAAAACATCAGAACTATGTACGTGCACGGTAGCAAAGGCATGGCGTGCGTAATGTGGCTGTGCTTTTTCCTCTCTGTCGTTATTCGCATTTTGCATTTGTTTTCTGTCCGAGCTAGTACATAACTATTTTATGTGTCAATAAATTAAAGCAACAGATTTGCATACACGAATTTTAAATTTATTGAGACGGAAAGGAAAAAAAATTGAGTAGAGAGACTTAGAGTTAATATTTACGTTTTGTCTTTGCAAAACAAGCGACGAACGATCGTTAACGATACAAGAAAAATTCAAGCCATTTTTCAATTCATTTGCAACAATCTGATTAAGCGTGATTCAATTGCCAGTGTATGAGTGTGTTTGCTTCGCATCGGCTGGACTTCACAGTATAATTATGTACTTGTTCTTGACTGGAACGAAAATGTCGATCGACATCGGTCATCACAATTCATCCCAAAGATTTTCGATATAAAATGACTGTACAAGAAGAACTTGTTGTTGTTCCGCTATTATAATCAAATCTACGAGGAACAAAACACACATACACACCTGGAAGAGGTGTTTTTTTTTGTGTGTGTGATTTGAAGCTTCAAGAGTTTTTGTCTTCGTTTTCGTTTATGGTTTCACTTTTTAATAACCATTAAGTAGTTCGTCTGCCGCATACACATCTGAAGCGATGTAGCGTCTTCAAACAACCGGATTATATGTCTAATTTATCTTAATCTCGGGCACAAGACAAGTGCAAAATGAATTGACACGCGTCAATATACTATTCATTGATGTTGATGTGTTTTTTTCTCTTTATTTTGGCAAATGCGGATCTTCTTGCCAAACGAAGGTTGCTTGCTGTAATGAAAAAATGATTGAATGCGGAAATTAAAGTTGGATCCGTTCTGAAATCAAAATGGCAATTTTTCAGCCACTTTCGCTTTCACAGTCGCACAAAACCACGCAGGAAAATGCTGGCAGCCAACCAGAATGATAACATTCTTTTTAGCAGTACTTGAACCGGAGACGTAGAATATTTGATTCGCTTTTTATGAACATTGCAAACAAATCTACAGCCGAAAGAAAAAAAGACTATAAATGAAAATGAAAAAAAAAACTTGGGAACGAAACAAAAAAAAGAAACATAACATGTACTTGTCCAAAACAAGTTTCAAGGTCATAAGTTTTTGTTTCTTCAAATTTCAACGTTGAAGATTTAGCGCGTGCACAAACATTTTCAAACTATTTCTTCTTCTTCCTAATTCGTTTCTGTTGCCATTTTTCTATTCAAACTCCGGTTTCAAAAGCCGTCAATTACTCTACATTTATGTACATATAATTTGTATATCACCATCATGTGTTCTGTGAGTTTTTTTTTTGGTAATTGGTCGCCAACGATAAATCTATGTGTTCACTTGAGAAAAAAGACGTCATGAAATGAAGCGCGCGGGAAATGTAAATATCAACAAAATCCGCCCGAAATCCAAACGATATCAATTGAAACGAATATATATTATCTAAGTGACGATTGGGAAATGTGCATGTCGAATTACTTTCAGAGGGAGGAGAGCTCATCAATCTGCATTCTTTGACTAAACAAACAAATGATCTCAATAAATTAAAGTGTGTGCTACAACGGAGAGTTGACAGACTCCCTTTAGTCGATCGTTAGTGAAAGACATACAATGAAGAGAAAAAAAAGACAGACGAATGCAGTATGGGAAGCACACGTAGGAAGATGAATCATAAGAGTAAATGATAAATCTTTGCTCAGTTGTAGAACGAGCGAATGAATGAACAAACAAAGGATGGATGCAACACGGTTCGCAAAAGAAGGCTTCCAAGCCGCATTTGCTGAAAGAAGAAAATTTGCAACAAAAACTGCACAAATGTTTATAAATCATATGATTCCGGCACACTCTCTTTTAGCTGCCTATCTCTCCTTATCTACACCATACACACGGGTGGAAAAAATGTGTTTTACTTTATGGTTTTATTATTAAAATGTCATTTTGACACTTCTTGTATTTATAAGAAATGTAAAAACCGTCAATGGCGCGGTATAATTTAAAAAGAAACAACACTTAATCATATGCATTAAGAATGAAAAGAGCAGGTAACAATCGCTCTCACACTACGAGCAATTTTTCTCATTTGGCAGCCATGGATAAAAAAGAGTCTTCTCTTGCTACATCCATAATGGTAGTAATTTAAAATGCGTTAAAAGAATGTGCGCAAATTTCAGTTCATATGCATGGAAAAAGAGCAACAAATGAACAAGAGCAAGGAAAAAAACTGGACGCAAATTCATACGAATATGAACAAATCAAGTGGTTTTTTCACCTCAGCGAAGAAAAAAAAAATAAATGTGTTCAACTTTGCAGCATTTACTAAGTCCTTGAAAGCATTTGAGAATTTTTTTTTCTTCGTCGCTGTTTTGTGTGGACGCGTGCGCGCGTGCGCTTACAAAACTTGGTGTCTTCATTTAGTTTAAAAAAAAAATTGTATGTCGGCGTGTTGCCAGTTTGCTTATTCCGCCCTAGAAATGTGAAATTTGTTCGATTCAAAAATCCAACCAAAAACAAGTAGTCGAATAAAATCAAAAAAGAATATTAAAATGCTGAATGTGAAATAGGAAATTTTGCCTACGATATTCTTACGTTTTGAAATTTGCTTAATGTATACAATTATTTGATCTTTGGACGTTTTGTTCCATGTTTCGTTGGCTGAAGCACCACTTCAAACAATGTTTCACCATTATTTATTCATTAAATAGGCAATGTGTGCACATTGTTGGCTCATTCTAAATTGAACATTATTCGCACCGACCACACGATTGAAGCTTGCATTCGATAGAGTGTATGGTTGGTCGATACATTGAAAAGTTTTGTCAAACAAAATGCCTCTTAAGGTTTGACATTGACCATGATCGACACAGCATTGACTTAATTTGATTGCTTTGTTCGAGCGCTATCATTTTTTTTTCTTGCCATCACTCAAGCCAATGGTGCAATTGCCTCTTGGTTTTACTTCATTTTTTTCCTCATGAAAAGCCACCAAAAATCATTGGTCAATGAACCACGGTGCAAACATCACGGTGAATTCCTGAAAAATTGTATGTGCGCCCTTTTTTGTTCATTTTGAAAGCAACGAAAAAAAAAATAATTCAAACTTCATTCGTTAATGTGTCATTTAAATGTGGTGCGGGTTTCATGACGGCCATTGGTTCAATTCTTGTGTCAAATATGATTGTGTGCTAAAGAATGTGCGTTCATTATTTTCTTTCTCTCGTTTCAACGATAAACCGACTGAACATTTTTATGCGAGAATTCACTCAGCGAATCTCGTTAAATGAGCTAAGTCTGTAAATAATAAGCATAATCATTATTATTATAAAATGTTCATTCTCGGACATAAAGTGAAACAGGGTCCAGTATTTATCAGTAAACTTCTTATTACATTCGATTAGTTAAATGACGTGTTACAACTAATAATTTAGTTAATGGCCGCATGAAAGAAAAATAAGAAGAGAGAAAAAAACTGACTATTTTCACACGCAATCCCAGAACCCCGACGACAAATATTGGCTATATACACATATACACATATGCACACACACACACACACACACACACACACACACACACACACGTGCAAACGATTCAAATCGAAATAAAAGGAACTTTAAACCGAACCAAATCAAAGTAACCAGATCATTTGATCGATAAAACATAGCAATCGGCATAAATATTTGTAATTTATTTTTTTCTTCATTTTCGAGACTATCATTTCATTTTTATTACAACTGAGGCTCGATCCGCGTAAAAAAGTGCCGTACGTTCGAAACAAGGACAAGAAAAAAGTGGAATCAAAAATGGAAAACTTTGAACAAGTTGCGAATGCTTCCGATTCGAAAAGTTTCCAAGCGCTACAGGATCGTTTGCAGGCGTTAAAAATGCTGCAACGTGAATATGTACGTGTTGAAATGGATTTTCATCGTCATTTCTATGCCCTCGACATGGAATACCAGCAAAAGCGGCAGGAAATCTATGGACGTCGTAAAGATGTTATTAGCGGAAGTGGCGATTGTTACGAACAGGTTCCACCAGATGTTGTCAATGGCGTAATGAAAGCGATGCAAAAATTGCACTTGAACAAGTATTTCACGGACGAAACAAAAGATATCAAGGGTATTCCAAATTTTTGGTTACAAGCTATCAAAAACTGTACACACAATGATGATCTCGTTCATGAGTGTGACGAAGAAGCATTGAGCTACTTGCTGGACATCAAAGTGAGCCTGGTCAACGAGCCCGATATGTCGTTTACACTGGAATTCGAGTTCGCACCGAATCCATTCTTTGAGAATTCAGTTCTAGCGAAGCAATACTTTTTGAGCTGCGATACCAATGATGAGTTCTACGGGTTCTCAATTATCAGAGCGATCGGATGCAGTATTGAGTGGAAGGACGGTGCAAACATTACGGAAAAGGAACTTGAATCATTTTTCATGTTTTTCAATCCACCAGAACTATCAGAGAGTCCAGACACTAACTCCCTTGAATTCGATTCGAACATTTTCTTTGAGCTTCAACAAGACTTCGAAATTGGACTGTTCATCAAAGAGAAATTAATTCCCAATGCCGTTCTGTATTATCTCAACGAGGTTGATGAGGTCATCGATTTTGGAGCATCTAGTGACAACGATGAAACCATTGTTTCGAATTGTAATTTCTAATTGTGGTGTTCACACCGTACAATGACCAAATAAAGTCAATACAAACACACAGAGAACCATTAGAAATCATATAAATATTGAACCGAGTACAATTGTTGTAATTGCTTTGTTTATAATAATCTGACCATGTTTATTTACATCACGGAATTTAGAAAAATTGCACACAAGCTCCAATATACGGAGTCCGGATGTAATGTTCAATTTCAATAGCTCGAGTAATTAATTCACCATAAATTCTATGAATACAAAGTGCGCCGTCTTTTTTCGGGTAATAAATTGATTTTACGTATTCATCACCATCCAGATGAGTGCTCCAAATCGGGGAACAACGTACCTATGTACTGTTTTTCGAAAATGAAAATAAAACAAAAAGTATTTCAACACCGAGCGGCCAATTGTGTGCGGTATTTTTGCGGTAATTTTATAAAAATACTTTTGCTTTTATTCCGGCATACGTTTGTTTCCACACGAATGTCTGTAACACATAGAGACATATTTCGTGCGATCGCGAGAGAACGAACGCGCGCGCGCGCCACTCTCGATGGAATAATGAGTGTATAGTTTTTCGTTAAGTAAAACATTTTGTTTATGAATTATGAATGCTGGCATATGACAAAGATGGATTACTTTTTTCACCGTGATTTATTCACACGCTAGAACGCGGCTCGCGGTTACTCACTAATTCCGATTTAAACACAGCCAAGCACACAATGTGCTCTCAGTCATTGGCTTGAATTGAGTCGGACGATAGAGAAAAAATCACATACAGCGTCGTCCATCGTCGTCATCATCATCATCAGCGTCGTGTGTATTTGACGCATAGAAACGCACCTTTGCCATTGTTGGTCATTTTTCCGTTGAACGTTTTCGTCGTGATTTTCTTTTCGCTTTCGCATAGGCGCGTTGAATTAATACACAATTGGCAGCCATGACCCAGGTTTGCTACGAATGAATCAAATTAAATAGTGTGTCTGTGTAGTTTTTTTTCTTCCTTTGCGTTACTTATGCGGTGTGTCTTAAGCGCAAACATCACATAATTACGCGCAGCTTTTGGTGTTAGTTTTTTTCTTCTTCTGTTTTCACAGAGAGTTTCTATTGTCTACGCACTTGAACGGAAGAAATTAAGATGAATGCAAATGTACCGTATCATTCATCGATCTTTAATTAGTGCAGTTCAATTTATCGAAATAACTACTGATTTTCACCCGAACATTGAAATGATGCTAGTAAAATTCTCATATTTATATGCTCTCTGCTAGCGGTAAATTTGTCGAAACCTTTTCACAAAATCAATTGCGCAACATAGAATAAAATGACATTTTAACTTGAAAATACTTCAATTTCCCGTAATAATGTTCCACAATGTTTCTTACTTTCTGTCACAACAGTCGCGATTGTCCCTTAGCCGAGCTTCAATGGAGCAACGTGGTTTAGATATTGCCAGTTTGTTCAGCCCATTGCCCGGAATGGGCGTCGGTATGAATGTCACTGATATGGGCTCCTATACACACTATCCACCACACTATTCTTATCAGGTGAGCTATTTGATTGAAATCAATGAACAAAACAAAAGACAAAAAAAATATCTGATAAATTTGACATTTTACCACTTTAATTGGATTAATGAACAAAATAAAACTTTCATCAAATTTAGGGTGCCAGTTCGATGCCTCAGCATGATCAGTATGGTGCTCATCAACATATGGCATTGCACAATGTATCGACTGGTGATATGGGAGCAAATCAATCGATTCCCACAATTGCACCATTGCCATCGCAACGGTCACACTATGCCACACCAAATTTGGGATCGGCCGTGTCATCGAGCATGCATCTTACCAATTCCAGTCATGATAGCGATGTTCTCGGTGCTACAAGCAACTATAAAACCGAACACGAAATGATGTACTATTCGGTAATAATAACACAATCTTATCTAAATTTGTCTAATCTTAGACTCGTGTCTTACAATTTATCGCTGATCGTGTATTTTAATCTCTTCTCATGGATTTGCGCAGAATGCATCATCTGAATTGAATCACACCACAGACAATTTTATCGCTTCCATAATGAATTATGATGACGACTTGCTTATGGATATCAGCACTAACGTCAACGATGGTATGTACAAATGTTCTGTATTTTATTTAATCAAGATTAAAATTTGAACTAAATTCGGAATTCGTATTTTTCACATTCGGACGTAAACATTTGAATGGTATTCGAAAGAAAGAGAACAATAAAGTCGAACAAAATAGATTTTGTATTTAGTTTTAGTCTGTTCATATATGATACATGCGATGCCATCTATGGCAAACTCATTGAAATGAAGCCTGAAGCTTTGACAACCACCCAACTTCAATTCGTACCATCGCTTGCGCCATCTATCAAAATGAACACAAAACACTGAAACTTTTCATACCGTCGTCAAAGTCGGTTACGAAATAAAATAGAGCGAAGTAACGCACTTGAAGAAGGAATATCAATTTGAAACGAGAAAAAAAACGTTATCACGTGCTTGGATCTGGCACGACACGTTGTATTTAGCAATATTAAATGCGTCATTGTCGACCGCCTGACGAAGTTCATAAGTAAATTCAAAAAAATATCTCACGTTATCTGCGCCTGATTGAGATGGTTTTTATGTGCAATTTCAACGTTGATAATAAAGTAATTCATGCTTTACTTCGATGGAAGGAAAAAAAATTGGAAAATTGTCACACTCATGGATTTCATATTTCCATAAAATGTGATCGGCGGTAATGCCATGCCACATATCATGCGCATATCTAATGTTAATCGCATAATTGACCACAAATAAGAGTCATCCCGGTTCAAATGTTTCCTTCTACCACGCAAACTCAGCCAAACGATTGATTTTTATACAGTGTCATCATTTCGATTTCTAACAAATCATCTTACGGCAGAATGTTAAGCCAACTTAAACACACCGATACCTAGGGACGATCGAAAAACGTGTAAGCGTGAATGTGTGGATTTGCGTTTGAGATAGATAGCGCGACATTCTATATTTGTTGGTGATGATCTGAAATAGTGGTTATCGTTTCAAAGTCGTGTGCTCTCTCACACATACAATGAGGCGAAATCGTTAGCGACGCGCTGTGAAATGTTGAAAAGAAAAAAAAAACTACACCGTCTACACCGACCGACCGACAACAGTGAAACAATGAACAACAGACATTCGTGTGACCAACACACAATCGACAAACACTGCGAGCATACACAATCAAAGCGAAAAAACCTAAACAACAGCCAAAACGATGGCTGCGATTACACCCAGTGCGACTAATTCGTGTTTCTCTCTTTCTCCCACTCTTGGTCGTTCGCATTAATGCCATCTCGATTGTAATTGACTTGTTAAATTTGGAATAACATGTTTCAATGAAAAAAAAAAGAACTCAGTTGAATTTAACGAGTCTAACGAATAAGTACAATGTCGGAACGTTGTTGTTTTTTTTCTGCGTTCCTCTCTTGTTCGTGATTCGAGCGAATACAAGCGCGTAGAGATTTTGAGAAAGAGAGGTAGCGAAACGAAGACGAAATGTGAAAAAGACAATAAAATAATTTAAAAAAAAGCACCGACGTTGACAAATGCCGTTGAAAGATATTAGCTGTAACAATAGTCACTATCGTGCGCGCAGATAATATTGTTTTCGATCATTCGGTCTCTTCTGTCACTCCATTTCCATCGACGTAATCGAAGTGACTGACTAAGTTTACACTCTCTGTCTCTGGTGAATGGTGAACGGGCGGTTTCGCCACATGACAATGAATACGGTATTTATTTTCTACTCTTCTCTTCTCTTCTATTTGTGCGACGACGACGAGGTTTCGCAGCAATATGATTTGCACAAACTTTCAATATTGATGACCGAATCGCGCTAAAATCGTCAATCACTTGGCGCACAAACAGAAACACAAACAGGAACAAGAGAGACTGCGATAGTTTTCGAAGCCGTATCACATTGTATATTCATCATTCATAAGACGTGATTGTGTATTTTTTTTCTCTCTCCATCGAAACAGATTCATTTCAATATCGTATCGTTGCGATCGCACAACCAGATAGACGAATTAAAATGGATAAACGACAAAAGACTCACCGAGAGTCAGTCACACAAATTCAAGCAAACAATATAAAACTGATACTGAATATTATATGGTTCGAACCAGCATACACATCGTCCAGCACAACTGTAGTTAAAATATCATTTGAAATGTAGCATTTTTTGTGTGTGGTTCGTTTTGTTTGTTTTTCTCGTTTAGTTTTTTCTTTCTGATCGGTTAATCTCGATTTCTGCGTGCTATGTTCTGCTGTGAGTGTTGAAAAGTTTTTGAAATATTTAAACGTAAAATTTTGAAGTGTCTGATGTATGCACAAGTGCTTTCGCAATAAATGTCCAAACGAGTAAAACAACGACGACGAGCAGCAAAAAAATGAGACTATGAAATACACACAGTGGAAAAAAAAATAGAGAAAAAAAACACAACAAGAACTTGATATTAAAACCTTGGCTGATGACTCAGCAGAAAGTGCGAAACAGTAAAAGGGAATTTTGCACAAACAAAACCGATGACGACGGTTGAAATACGAAAGAAAAACCAACCAAATTGCACAGAAAAACGAAACGAAATCAGCAAACTCATGTCAGTTAACTGATTTCAATGAATAACATCACTATAATTTTGCGTTTGTGTATGCGCTATTCTCTCGGCGCAATGTTAATTTGACTTAATTCGTCCTCTGTATGTGCGCGATGCTTTTGTTTCAAATACACAATAAACAATAGCGTTGTTTCGGCGCATCGGCAGTTCCCCGGTATTTAGATGGTGAACATGTGTGTGCGATCAAATACCAATCGAGTTCCGATGAAGTCACACTCGCATTATTTAAACATTCGTTCATGGTTTTTGTTGTGGTTAGTGTTATTTCTTTCCGTTTGTCTTCGTGTTTTGTTCATTTGTGATCATTGTCAATCATACGTGTGTTGTGTGCGAATGAATGCACAATTTGATTGTGGAAGAATTCCAATATCCATCGATGATATTTCGGCCAAACGTAAACAACGCATTAATTATATAAAAGCGGGTGAATATTTGATTGTGTGATGACAGAGAGATAAGAAAATAGACATTATGGATAAAAATACAATAAAAAGTCGATGAAAAGAAAAGCGCAACCGTGTGTGTTTGAGACACAAACAGTGTTTTACTATGTTGTTGAAATAAAAAGATGATTAATCTTCTGAATGTGCGACAAAATCTTCGGTTATTTACTCAGCTTTTCTATTTGCTGCCTTTTCAATGATCAAACTACCGAAATTGTTCCACATATCACTATCGTTATTTTTTTCTCTCTACTTCAAAACAATTACGATTGGTGTACACAATTAAACGCCATCGTTTCGAATATATATAGTTCAAGCAACACCTTGAATATAAAGTATTTTGTATCCGTTTCTTTGGCTGAACTTACAAACCATTTCATTGAGGTGCCACGTCTTGTGTGTGTTCAGCAATTGCCGTTTTACGTCTGCTGTGTGCTTCTTTCCGTTTTGGTCGTGCATGTGTGTCTGCGTGCGTTTGAATATTTTGATTTGCTAATTCAAAATAGAAAAAAAAGGAACAACGTTAAAAATGATTCCGACAACCAACGTCATCCATCGAACGAATGGCCATTTCGTTTATTAAAATTCATTAAAAACCAACAAAATGACCCTATAAACGTGTCTATGCAAATATTTCAAATTGGTGAGCGTTTGAGATTCCGGCTTTGTTGCCTTCTTTTTTTCTTTATTACACCGCTGCTGCTGCTGCCGCCGCCTTACACATTCCCTGAAATTGATGTGGTGTTGTTTTGATTCCAAAAATACACCAATTCTATTACTAATGCTTCATCGCCAGGCCGACAATTTTCCTAGTAGTTGCTGTTAAAATGTTTCGTCGTTTACAAATTTGGTTGCAAAAGCGTTCGGGATAAGTATTTCATTGCTCACATGTAATTGAGCACTCAATGAATGACACAAATATTCGCACACACACACACACACACACTCACTCAGTCACAAACCATCGTGCAATACTCGCCTCACTATTTATACTCGTCAGTGTATAAAACGGAATTGTAGTGAAATTTTCAACGAATGAATTTGACTATTAAAATGAAACCAAACATTAAACGGTTCGCGCATTGTTGCCGACAGTTATTTACTATTTTTAAATGCTTAGTCATGCCGTGCGCATTGAGCGATGTCTAGCGCTCGGTGTGTATACGTATAGATTTCAATTCACATTGTATGCAGCACAATCAATTTTCATTCAATGCGGTCGATGTGTGACTTTCGTAAAAATATTTCATTCGTCGCATATTGTTACATGTTTTGCATGCGATGCACTAATTAACTGCAAAAGCGATTTTTGACCGAATGCATTCATTGGGGGGAAAAAAATGAATGGCGAATGGAAGTGCGAAAGAGAGATAGAAGAAAAAAACGATCATTCGTCGTTTGTCACTTATTGATACTGATATACCGTCACACGATCGCTGAAAATTTCGGACATTTAACATTTTTCGCAAATTATTTCTTCTTTTCTCACTCTCGTTTGCAAACCAATAAAATGCCGCAACGAAAAAAAAATTTTTCAATATGAAGTATGAAGAAAAAGAAAGGCAAGCAGCGAAAGGTAATAGCCTAATAGCATACTAATGATGACAATTGAATAAATTGTTGAAACTTCATGTTTTGTGCTGTTTGCATTTCCAATTTTCGTCATGTTCACGTATACAATAGCCAGCGTTTTTGGACTGGATCAACTTGTTGATCATCAAACAACTTAAGATATCAGTTGTAGAAAAAAAAGCGAGAAGACAAACGTATTCCGATAACCTTGACATTCGAATAACGATCATATCACCATCAATAGCGCTGTAGACGCTTAAAATTACCGACGAAATCACCATTCTACAACAATAGCAACAACAATGTGAAAATTATGAAGACCATCCGCATCGACTTCTACTTCAATTATAATGGGTTTTTTTTCCCATCGAATTTCGCATTGAATAAATTACAACAATGGCAAAAGCAATTCCGAACCAA